TGTTAAGTATAACGTATACATGCCATCACATCCTCCGCATTTTCTTGGTTCTTTCGGTAAAGTCACGTAGAAGGGAAGTAATAAAATAATAAAAATAAAACATAATAAAATAATTCTCACGACGTTTCGGCCACAACGCAAGCAGCCGTCCTCAGGTGAAAACCAGGTCCGTCGAGGCGACAGAGTCTGAATGAAACAGCACACGAGCTTGGAGCATATATATATAAGCTGGGCGCCTTGACAAAGGAATTTGCATATCAAGAGGAATTTAGCATATTTATGGGAAATGCAGGAATGTGATTAGTACTACATATGCATGTGCATTATGCAGGATTAACAGCATCAAATGGAGCTGCAGTTGCTGCTGCTGCAGTTGCTGCTGCAGTTTCTGCTGCTGCTGCAGTTTCTGCTGCATCCTCCGCATTATGACACTCCCCACCCTCCCATCTGTGTTTCACAATCAAAGTTGGGGTGCGTCTTATAATCCAGTGGAGATTGTACAACTTCGCGTTGGGCACAAGTTTGGCATGCGTCTTAGTGTCTGGAGTCGTTTATATAAAGGGTGCAGGTAATAGGGTACCCATTAAAGGGCAGCATAGTTGAGACAAATTCACAGAACTGTCGCAGCCCTTTCATGAATACAATTTTGGATAAGGGGCCGTCCATAAATGACATCACGCACCTAGGGGGGGAGGGGGTGTTTGAGAAATGTGGCGTCACATAAATAAATATTAATTGAATACAATTGTTATAACCACTATTTTTGCTTAATTTTCATGATTAAGTATTTGATTATTTAAATTTACTAGGGTTACCTTTTATTCATTCCATGAATTAGCATTTTGCTTCTCCATGGGAGAATGGAGAAGCATACATAAAAAATGATTGTTATTAAACATTTTGATTCTCATGATTCTACCAGGGCTTTTCATTCTGTGGAATGAATATGTGATTGTTATAATTGTACTCTCCATTAACGCACTACAATGGCAATGGTTTAAAGTGATTTGAAGCATGTTTTATTTTCAAAATGGAAATATGGTTTTTGGGGGGAGGGGGGCCAGAGCATTGTGACGTCATATTTGAGGGAGGTCTGACTTTTTGTGACGCCGTGTGACGAGGGGGGGAGGGGGGGGTCAAAAAAATGCCAAAATCGCGTGACGTCATTTATGGACGGCCCTTACGGACCTCACGATGCCATAGGGTGGCGAGATGCTAACTCCCTCGCCTGGTATGCAGGGGTCGTAAGTTCGATCCTCACCATGACGCCTGCTGTATATTTGAAGTTTGCATCTCTCTCTCCGTGTGGTCGAGTGGATTTTTCTCCGTTTAGATTATTTAGATCGTTTCGATTATTTTGCTGCTATAATTTTCCACGTGATAAGCCACTGCATTGAGCTATCATTTGTGATTGCCAGGTCACTTCTGAGAATGAACTATATAGCTCAGTTGACCTTACCTTTTAAAATAAGATTTTAAAAAATAGTTTTAGCTTGTGTATGCATGCATTAAGGAGTTATTTACGCCAGTCTAATTGTTACGGGAGATCTTCGTTTGAATAAAATGTATTATTAAAAGTTCACTAATATTTGTCGGTTGTTTCTGGGTGGCAAGGGTGGCACAGTGGTAACCAATCATTGCGTCCCACACTTAAGAAGTACCTCCAACTTCAATCCTCGAATGAGTGGAGAGGTGGTTACGTGACGTCATCTCTCATGGTTCGTGATGGCAGGTGTGCCGTGAGGGTACAAAAAGACGACCCTCTGCGACGGAGATAGATTAAACAATGCTGTGCCCGCGCAAACGTGCATTTGCAGGATTACTTGCACATTAAAAATAAAAACCTCTCAGCCTAAACCTCTCAGTCTGGGGTCACCGCGTTGGCGAGATGTTTGGGGGGGGGCAGGTGATTATTTTGAACCCAGGAACGTGGAGATATTTTTCCCACCAGTTCTGTTATTTGTGGAATGCTGTTCTGCCCCAACGCGTACGGCGAGGTCTGCCCCGTATTTGTTCATTCTCGTGGTGGAGAGCGAAATTATTTGTGCTCACGTCACTCCTGGCTGAAGATTATCCACGACAGAGAAAAACTAGAGAGAGTCGTCGGACTACTCATCCTATAGGTGTGTTGTGACATAGCATCGGTCACTTAGCAGCATAGCGCTTGTTGTTGACGGGAAAAGGGATCTGCAGTTACAACAGCCCTGACTGACAGTGGGTCACGTGATAAACCAGAGAGAGGGATGTAGCGGAAAGGCTACAGAAGGGGCACGTGAGGAAAGCCCGGGAACCCGCTAGTAGATTCTTTAAAGGGGGCGTGGCCAAGGCAGATCGAAACCAGGCTGGGAGGATAAAAGGGGGCCCCCGAGCAGGAGCTCGGGGCTATCATTTGGAGTGGGATCCCGTCAGGGAAGGCCCACGGATGTATGGAGCTCTTTTTCAATAGCGACCTGGCTATCACAAATGACAGCTCAACTAAGTGGCTTATCACGTTGACATTTATAGTAGCCAAATACTCAAAATGCTTAATGTTGATTCCAAATGTGGAGGAGAAAACTGGAGGACCCGGAGAAAAATCAAACTCCAAATATGCAACAGGCGTCAGGTCGGGATCGAATCCACGACCTCCTGTATACCACGTGAGGTAGTTAACATCTAACTCGCCACCGTGGCCACCACGTGATGGCAAGTGTCGAGCCAGATAATTTCTTGCACGCACTCGCGCTCGTGAGAACGAGGAAGTTCGCACAAAAGATATATTACACACCAGGCAAATACCACATTTCATCATGTCAGACAAGACAGGCTCCTGCCTCGTCCTCACGTATACAGTGGTATAAATACCAATGGCAAAAAAGAGCACTCTCCGTCAATGGTATTTTCCCCCTAGCAAAATATCAGTCATGGTCAGCCAGCAGCAAGTCACCGCTGAACAATGGCCTCTGCAAATCGCACTCTAATCTATTCCTAGATTATTCGGCGATGTGACAAATGCTCACCCAGCACCTGCCACACATGGCGTGACTTCGGTGCCCCATTTCCTTCAGTTGGGCCGTCCTCTTGGATGCATTCCTTTGGCTGCCACTCAACATCGTTGACCATGAACTATGTATGTATGTGTGTACGTATGTATGTCTATGTATGTATCTTTATATGTATGAATCTATGTATGTATGTGGCGAGCAGTGGCGCATTGGTTAGCTGTAATGCGCTACAAACCCAGTGACCCGAGTAGCTGGTCAACACCACGTCTGGCTTCGTTTGTCTCCCAAGTGACACTGTTTACTACACATCGGATCAGGTACTCATTTAAGGCTGAGTCGACCTAGGGGAGGCCCAAGGCCGGTTCAGATAATCGCCGCTGGTGTTGGTGCCGTGAGCGGGAATCAAACTCGGGTATCTTACAGGAGAGAAACATGCAAACTCCAAATATAAAGGCGTCAGGATCGGAATCGAACCCACGACCTCCTATATACCAGGCAAGGTAGTTAACATCTTGCCATCATGACGCCCCTACGTGGAAGTTATATATTAACCAACCCCCCCTATTTTTCACGATTCCTCACTGTCTATCATTTTGAATGATGTAACAACAACAAAAACACAAACGAAAATGAATGACGTGGATTTTGGTGGCTCTTTATACATCAGTGGATGGACAGAGGTCTGTTGGTTTTCTTCTGGTTGAGTACGTAGCACGTACACACACATCCCCTTTGTCAGCTCACTTTGTGGATTTAAGGGGCTCTGCTCCCTGTGCATGTTTGGGGGTTATTTGTCGTAACCCTATCACTCTGGCCAATGCGAATTGGTACAAGCAAGGAGGGGTAGATGTGGGAGCAAAGCAGCTAAGTACAATATATATTTAATATGTATAAACTGCCCTTCTGTTATTATAGTGGCCAGATGTATTTGTGGAACTGGAAGCACTCACCCTCTGATCGACGAACTCTGGAATACCCATTCATACTGCTGGGAGGACAGAATTGGAGGGATTAAAGAAACTAAACATTCCATTGCTTCAACCGTCATGCTAGACGATCGAATTTCAACTGATGTTTGCAATTTGCTAGAATGGATATTGCAGGTGTCATAATACCAAGACGACAAAAAAGCCCTGCCAGAGTCCTGGGTGCCACGGTGGCTAGGAGATGTTAACTACCTTGTCTGGTATATTTAGAGTTTGCATGTCTCTCCCCCAGAAGTAGCGTGGATTTTCCTCTGGGCTCTCTGGTTTTTTCCCTCTACATTTAGAAACACTGTGTGAATGAATCATGGCTCATCTCACGTATAACTCCGAGCCTAATAGGAATTGAAGTTTTTAAATAACATATTAGTCCCGGCTGGGAATCGAACTCAGGTGACTGGGGTTTAGAGGGCAGTGCGCTAAATCACTGCGGAAAATCTCGCAGCCATAATCCTGAATTTGCATGCAATGGCCAGATCCCCACAGATATCCAGCAGACCTTTGCACTTTTCCGCATTCTTGCCATTTTAAACGTACCCTCTGGCACCGAGTCACTTTTCTCTAATATCTCTTCCAAATCTAAGCTTGCAATGAAAACATTTATTTTAATATCATCCCTTTTAAACACTTGAAATTCATTTTGAAATTAGTCTTGGAATATAGAAACTGGATTCCATGATTACTTAGTCACCTGCCTGTATTCATGTTATGTATGTTGAACTTCTTTCGCACCGTACGTATCCAACAGTGCTAATCGGAGGTGCGGGCCAAGGACAATGAACTAAACTAAAAAATCTAATTAGTTTTCAAACTAGATTTGAAATACATAGCTCCCGTGACTTCCTAATATCAAAAGGAAGAGCGTTCCAGACGGCTGCTGAAGCGCACCTGAAAGCGCCGCACAAAGCACGTGGAAATATGAGTGGGTGGGTGGGTGAGTGGGTGGGTGGGTGGGTGAGTGGGTGGTTGGGTGGGTGAGTGGGTGGGTGAGTGAGTGGTGAGTGGGTGGTGAGTAAGTGGTGAACTGTTCAAACTGCTGCTCCACGTAGTCAGACACGGGCCTCCAGCTGGTGAGAAAGTGGTGAGTGAATGGTGAGTGAGTGAGTGGGCGAGTGGGTGAGTGGGTGGGTGGGTGAGTGAGTGAGTGGGTGGGTGGGTGAGTGAGTGAGTGGGTGAGTGGGTGGGTGAGTGGGTGGGTGTGTAGGTGAGTGAGTGTGTAGGTGAGTGAGTGGTGAGTGAGTGGTGAGTGAGTGGTGAGTGAGTGGTGAGTGAATAACTTTGTTATTGTACCAGGTGTAAAGGACACTGAGCTATAAAGTATAGCTCTTTTTCAGAAGCGACATAGCTATCACAGATGCATCTTCTCGGTTCTTTCAGTAAAGTTACGTAGAAGGGAAGTAATAAAATAATAAAAATAAAACATAATAAAATAATTCTCACGACGTTTCGGCCACAACGCAAGCAGCCGTCCTCAGGTGAAGACCAGTCTGTCGGGGAGACAGACCAAGAAGATGCATCCCTGCAGTCACGAAAGCTTTAAATCGAAATCTATCACAGATGGTTGCAGCTCAGCGAAGTGGCTTATCACCACGTGGAAATGTATAGCAGCAGCAGCCAGATACTTGAAAAGCATGTTTCTAAATGTAGAGGGGAAAACCCGATTACACGGAGGAAAATCCACACGACTGCAGGGAGACAAGCAAACTATCTGTTTGCTTAAACACATTAATATTATTAATCATTGATCGTTTCTGCGTGGATTAAATATCGGCAGTTCTATAGGATTCGGGGTGGAAGGTGCGTCAATCGTACGCAGGTGGGGGGGGGGGGTGTAAAAAGTACGCGTGTGTAAATGGAGGGGGGTAGGGGTCAAGTGTTGACAGATTTTTGCGTACGTGCTATATGGATGGCCCCTTAACTCCTATATATATGCGCACACAGATCCACCGTGTGAGTGTCCGCTGACTTCGTTTGAAGATCGAGATTCACGCCTGGTCGTAGATTTTCAGCTCCTTTCTCAACAATTTTCAAAGTCGGTAAGTGCAACACACGCGCTGTTGTGATATCCGTTGCGTATCACTAAATTGTAATTGGGCACTGTCGTTCTTGCATCGAAATAAAGGCACGCCAAGGCACATTGTGACTTAAGTAGGAAGATTTGTAAAGTTGTTTTACCAGGAGGGGTACCTGCCACGTAAATTTTTTTCTGAACAATGCTATCGTTTCTGTCGATTGCTCCAAGAAAAAATACAAATAGTTACTTTAACAAATGAGAGCCATCTTACGTAGGGGAGTTGATTAGTTGCATATTTTGGTTGTTGTTAGTAAAAAAAACGATTAAGTAATGGTAGTCACAAAACCTCAGTATTTTCGGTAATAAAGGATTTTATTTCTGGTTTGATCGCTTAAAATATATAAATGTAGCTTTAAATCAGCCACCATCACCTGACACAGCCAATATCAGTAAGGGGTTTGTGTCACGTAACACAAAACGTGTACAATTAGTTTGCTAGTTCAGCACGAACCGGTTGTTTTGTGTCGGAGAATTAAACCCACGACAAAGTTCACGCTTATTTTGTGGAAAACGTACAATACCTCTGATCTGCATATCAGCCAGGAAATCGCTTGGGTTGACCTTTGATGGATTTTCTTCCTTCCTAATACCTCCGTTGAATATTTGTCGTAAGTTTGCACGGCGTTTAGCGACTGCGTAGGAAAGACGTCTATCCCTGTGCATGGCAGCAAAATATGTTCAGAAGCTGAACGGCAAAGTTGATGCTTAGCCACAGGAGAGCTTACCGGAGAAAGTTTGTGTGGTTGTGCTATTTCTACATTCACACTAGCGCAGACTTCACTAGTTTACTATGTGAGACCACGGTGGCTAGGGAGATGTTAACTACCTCGCCTGGTATACAGGAGGTCGTTGGTTCGATCCCGACCCTGATGATGCCTGTTTCTTGGAGTTTCCGTGTCTCTCTCTCTATCTCCGTCGTGGTCGCATGGATTTTTCTCAGGGTCCTCCAGTTCTTTTCCCCTCGATATTAAAAAAAAACAGGCATTTAGGATATTTGGCTGTTGCTGAGATATATAGCAAATTTTCAAAAGCAACTTGGCCACAAATGATAGCTCAACGAATTGGCTTATCACGTAACACAAAACTTGTACAATTAGATTACTAGTTCAGCACTAACAGGTTGTTTTGTGTCGGAGAGTTAAACCCACGACTACGTTCACGATTATTTCGTGCAAAACGTACCCAGTAACGGACGTTTTTTAAATTTGGAGAAAAAATAACTGGAGGACCAGGAGAAAAATATACACGACCGCGGGGAAAGAGAGAGATGCGCAAAATCTAAATACACAACAGGCGTCGGTGTCGGGATCGAACCCACGACCTCCTGTATACCACGCGATGGAGTTAACGTCTGGCCGGTTATAATGTGTATGAGCTCCCGGACCAGAATGGAACGCGGTGCCTCTCACAACTAATTACCAACCACAACGTCGCTTTTATATTTAAAATGGCTATAATTTTTAGGTTTTAACTCTCTCTCATTGTCGTATCATCATCATCATCATGATCCATGGACAGATATCCCTGTAGGTTTAAACTGCACATTTCATCATTTGTTTCCACTTTCCTTTGTCTTGTGCCCAACTGTTCAATTAGTAGGTACATCTTTCTGGCACCAATCTCTAAATAGTCACCGTCAAGTCAATATGTGTTAGGTCTTCCTCCCTTTTCCGGTTCTTTCCATTTTTCTGAGCACACTTTCCACTATCTTGTTCTTGTCCATCCTTGTACATGTGGTGCCCAAATAGTACCCAGTTCCCCTCTCATCACTGCCTGCATCATCATCGAGTTTATATATTTACGCAATCTAACCCAAAAAAAACCTCTATTATGGATGATATTGGTCGCGAAGCCTACGTGTTAAACTTCTTGAACTTCCTTACTTGTGCCTTGCAGCAAGAAGGGGTCTAACTCCAATTCTCCACTGGCACACCTTTCAGTGTATAAAGTAGTGTACGTACTCCCGTTTTATCAGAGTGAGTAAATGTGTGAGAGTGAATGAGTGTGATTATGTGTGGAGAGTGGTAGCGGAGCGATTAGCGATACACTGCACTGTGAACCCGGCAGAGTTCGATACCCGCTAACGGTCACCAACACCAGCGGCGAAATTAACCGACTCTCGATTCAGCCTCAAATGAGTACCTGATCCAATGTGTAGTAAATGTCGCCACTGGGGAGACAAACGAAGCCGGGCGTGGTGCTGGCCACCTACTCTGGTCGCCGGGTTCGTTTCACATAACAGCTAACCAATGCGCCACCGCTCGCTACATACATACACAGACATGCATACACATACATACACATACATAGTTCATGGTCAACGATGTTGAGTGGCAGCCAAAGGAATGCATACAAGAGGACGGCCCCACTGAAGGAAACGGAGCACAGAAGTCATGCCGTGCGTGACAGGTACTGGGTGAGCATTTGTCGCATTGCCAGATAATCTAGGGGTAGATTAGAGTGCGATTTGGAGAGGCATTTGTTCAACGTTGACTTGCTGCTGGCTGACAATGATTGATCATTTGATAAGGGGAAAATGCCATTGAGGGAGAGTGCTCTTTTTTGCCATTGGTGTTTATGCCATTGTATTCATGAGGACTAGGCAGGAGCCTGTCTTGTCTGTAACGATGAAATGTGGTATTTGCCTGGAGGGAGTGTAATATATTCTGTTTGTGTGGACTTCCTCGTTCTCAAATGCGTGCGTGCGTGCAAGAAATGATCTGACTCAACACTTTCCATCACGTGGCGGCCACGGTGGCTAGTGATATGTTTACTATCACACCTGGTATACAGGTCGTGGATTCGATCACAATCCTGACGCTTGTTGAATATTTGGAGTTTGCATGTCTCTCTCCCCTTGGTCACGGGGATTTTTCTCCGGGTCCTCCGGTTTTCCCCTCCACATTTGGAATCAACATCACGCATTTTGAGTATTGGGCTACTATAAATGTACCAATAGGGGTTTTCCCCTTTTTTCTGGCAACAAAACTGACACCTTTTGCAAGGAATCATGTCTACATTAACCGCAATACTTGCAGTCAAATGCAAACAAAAACACAATACTCTGGTAATTTATGCATTGTCTTTTAAACTTATTGGTCCACACCAGAGACAGCTTTCTTTGGAGCCTCGTCTCATATGGTGTTCGACCAGATGACGCCAAAAGGCGCACAGTTCAAGACAACGCACTACCAGAGTAATAAGGGCTCGGGGTAAGCAGCTACATCATGGGACCTCCTTTGCCAGTACCAAAATATACCAATAGGCGTTTTCCCCTTATTTTCTGGCTGTCTCTGGTGTGGACCAATCAGTTTAAAAGACAATGCCCTCTACTCTAACTGTGCCACCTGTCTTGAATTATCTCAACTTGTACATTTCCCTGTCCTCCCTAGGCTGCCTGTTTCCAATCATCTCAACGTGTATGTGTGTGGATTTAATGCTTCTCTATACAGTCTCCTACTGCCACCTGTTCCCTGCACACTGAGGAGTGAGATGCCCTTGTAGTTGTTACAGTCTGTGCGGTCCCCCTTCTTAAAGAGGGGGACCACCAGGGCATCCTTCCAATCCTGTGGGGCAGGGGGTCTGAGCGACACACACATACATACACACATGCATGCATATACACACACACGAACACATACACACACACATGCACGCACACACAAATATATATCATCGGTGTACTTTTCCGCATGTTTGACATCTTACAGCTGCCCTGCAGAAGCGGTGAATTAACTTTTTTAAATAAACAAAGCAAAAAGTTATCTCTTTTAAATCTTAAAACCCGAAAGTATCACCGTGACTTGAAGCATTTTTTTGAAAGGCGATCCCCTTGTGAAGAAAAGCGTGGACTGGTTTATTATTTATTTATATTTGGGGAGTATCTGTTTTTTAAAACGGCAAGCCAAAGCAAAAAAAAGGAAGGTGCTGCATTTTCTTGTTGTTGAAAAACGTGCCTCTGTGTTCAACCCATGTTTAGCTAAACCGGGTTCGGCTCTACTACACCGTCACCTCCCCGACGCCCAGTCACGTCTCCGCTCCTATTCCCTTCTGGCTGCCCTCCATTGGAATAAACTACCACTGCACGTCAAAAGGGCAACTTCACGAACCATGTTTCCGTTCCTCAAGACTCATCTCTTTTTCAATATTCTATCCCTCTACCCCCTCCTAGCCTCGTCCTTAAAACCTTAACCAGCCTCCTCCTAACCACGCCAGTGCTACCTTTTCTTATCATTACCCTCCAGTACCATCCTCCCAATTCCTAACCTCACCCCTCTCCCTTTCCTTATCATCACCCTTCCTAGACATCCATTCTCCTCCCCTACACTCGAATCCCATCCCTTTTCCCCACCAGCCAATAACTAATGCACCATGTAGAATTATTGTGTAAAGGAGAGCCGACACAAGATTGCAAGAGGTTCGTCTTTTAATCCTTTTCTCCCATCCACACCTGTCCCCTGCCGTCCCAATCTCGTTCCCGCCAAAGGTCCCTTCTTCCCACCCGTTTTCCCGCTATATCTCCTCGATTACCCCTCCCACTAACCCTCCTATTGGTGGGAATCCTTCCCCTGACACCCCTACAATTGTAAAGTGCTTTTAAATTATCGATGAGAACTACTGTATATACAGCATCGTATCACTTGCTGCTTTTTTACACACTCTATTCAACTTGCACTGTTATCTGTTTATATTCTTTCAAATCTTTGAGGCTTTAATATCATCGAATCTTCGAAGCCTAACAAGCTAACATTTTATACAGACTCGTCGTCTCATGTGGCAATTCAATATTTAATTTAAAGAACCAGTCCAGGTTCCGCCCATCATTGGCTTTTTTTATTTCACTATTTAAATTTGTCTTCTACTTCTGTCAACACAATCCTCTTACCTTCAAACTACTGTGGTGGTTGTCTTTTTTTTAGGCCGCCGGTTGGGAAAGAAAACAAACCTTTTACTTATTGTGCGAGACCAGTGGTTCTCAACGTGTTGGGTCCCCTGATCACCGGTGGCTTGCGACGGTTGGTCCGCTGTGGATGTGATGGAAATCGATCAAACGATCGTTCTTTACATTGTGTGTGCGCCAATATTGTACTCTAGAGTAGGCTTCGGTTACACATTAGAGCGGAGATGGGAAGGTTGGATTCGAAAGTGTGAAAGAAGCTCATCATGCATACAGATGTAATGACAGAAAAATTACCCCAAGCCAATATGCAGCCGAACGGCAATTTGAAAGTAAACAACGTTCTCCGATTGGCAGAAAGAGGCCTCTACCGTGATTGGTCGGGACAGACTCTTAAAGGAATTGGAGGTATAAGGTTTGAATGAGAAATTGGAAAACAGACTCCGTTAGAGGGGAAGAACAGAGATTGGCTAAAGGTAAAAAAAACAAGAACAAGAAGGTTTGAGAAAGGGGGCTGAGGAATATATAAGGGGAACTAGCGGTTAGTACCCGGCGTTGCCTGGGCGAAAAAGGCAGACACACATGTAGTTACACACGCAAATGGACTCACACACACACAGAGTTACACACACAAATCGACTCACACATACATACATAGACTGAACAAAAACCGCCATTCGCCACTAAGTGGCGGTGACGTCACGACAACGCTTGTGCCAGGCTATGTGCACCTTGAGGCCACGTGAAGTGTCAAACGCCTGCTGGCAGGAGGTCACGGGGCAAACCCAGATGGCACAGGTCGACTGACTGAGATGGCTGGCTGATGCTCCACCTGTGGCCCCTACTGTGGCAACCTTCTGTGCTTTAGCCACCCGGCGCTCCGCTCGTTGTTATGAGCGGCACTCCTCCACCCTCCGTTGTTGTTGGAGGGTGACTGCCTCCAACTGCCCAGTAGCGTTCTTCAGGAGCCTCCTCCACTGAGGCCAATCTTGACACCGCTGGTACCAGTCATCCGCAAGTGGACTCAGCTCCTGTACCATATCACTGCATGTCTTCTCCAGCCCGTGCCGCGCCCATTTAGCCCCCTCGATCCGGCCGAACAAAAGCTGTTTAGGCATGCGGTGGCTGGCCATGCGGGCTACATGACTCAGGCAATGCAGCCTTGCCTGCCGGAGGTCACCGATGGGACTTTGTCCACATCTTTGGAGGATTTGTGAGCTCCTCACATAATGCAGCCTGATTAAACTCAGAATGGATCATAGGTAGGCCATCCTAAATGTTTATAATCAGCGAAGATGTTCTATTAGGGGGGTCCAAGTTTCGCAAGCGTAGAGAAGGGAGGGAATGACCGTGGCCGAGAAGACCTTAAGCTTCGTACGGAGTGATAGACCAGGTAGCTTCCACACAGTGTTACGCAGCCAATGAAAAGATAATGCAGCTCGACTGATTCGGAGTGAGACCTCTGCTGTTAAACCGGAGCCGGTCATTAGCACACTGCCCAGGGAAACTCTCCACTGTCTCCACAACTGCCCCATCACCAATTGGGAGTTGTGGGGGTGGAGTGTCCGATGGTACAAAATAGCCAGGCAGGTGCTTAGTTTTGGTGGGGCTGATGGTAAGGCCCCACCTCTTGGTGGCAAGCTCCAGGTTCAGCAGCAGCGCCTCGAACTCCTCCTCCGAGTGAGTTTCAATTAGCAGATCATCGGCATACATAACGTGGTTGAACAATAGGGTGCCATCCCTTGACCGCACCCGGGCATCGATCAGCCTCCCATTATATCTGTAGCAGATGGGAATTATTCCGGTACAGGCATTGAAGGCTTGACGAACAACGTGGTCCAAATATATATTAAATAATGTGGGAGCCAGAGGACATCTCTGTTGCACCCCAAGGTGTAAAGGGAATTGCTCTGAATCACGGACACGTAGTTAGACGCGGGGCGGCTCACCATCATGAAGATCCTTTAGGATGGTGATCAGTGGGTCAGGGACTCGGAAAGCACAAAGAGCAACCCAGAGGCCAGGCCTACTGATGGTATCATAGGCCTTGAGCAGGTCAATAAAGCACACGCATGGACTAAGATGCACACATGGACCTACAGACACGCAAAGAAATGGAGTTACACTGACTAACATGGAGGCATGCACACACAGCGACTAACACACATGCACATGGACTGAGACACACACACACATATCGACTTACAGACACACACACATATGGACTCACACACATATAGACATGCACTTGAGATACACACAAATGGAGTTACACACACATATCGACGTGCACACATACAGGGACTTACACACATACATACATAGAGTGACACACACATTGCTGTACACACACATACACACGTGGCCTATCACACATAGACATTGACTTGAGATATACACACATGGAGTTACACACACATATATGGATGTACACACATACAGCGACTCACACACACACACACTGACTCACACACAGTAATACGTGGACTTACACACACATTGACGTAAACACACATATATACCTACACACACACACATATGGACGAAGACACACACACATGGACTTACACACACACACAGCGAATGATATGCACACAAATGGACTGACACATACACATAAACACTTTGACGTACACACACACATGGGGCGTTGTCCATTCGAAAAAGACAAACACACACATAGAGTTAAAGACACGCATGGCTCGACATGCACACACATATGGACTCAAAAACACACACATCGACGGGCACAGTAATCCCTGATGATGACACAGCTATCAGTATGGCAGTACTACGTATGAGGAAATAGCGTGACGTTAGCGATGGAAACAATAGAAATGTATTTAAGAAGTAATCAGAAATCACAGACTGGCAGTAGACTGTGGCAGCGTCATAAAAGCGCAGCAAAAAAAGTGAAAATTGAGCAACGTAAAAATCCAAAAAGACTTTTGTGCACACAAACATAATTATTGTAACATCTGTCAACTTGTTTCATAATGGTAAACAATGAACCTGAGTTGTTACCTGCACACAATATCTGGTAACGTATTTGTTTAATAATGATAATAAGCAATGAACATGATTAATGATCTGCACACAAACATTATTATTGTAATGTTTGTGAACTAATGTGTTTAACAATAGTGAACAATGAACTTGAGTTAGCGTAAGAAGCAAGGAACTTACCAGAGGCGTGTTGAGGCCTTGTGCCATGCGTAGCCCCCGTCCTGGCCTATATTGGCGAGGCGGCAGAGTTGGCACATTGCCAGGCTAGGGTCTGGGCCGCCACCCTCCCTCCCAGCATCCCCCGCCCGTGCAAGAATAATGGTATGTAAGCACTAAAATATTATTATCTATGGAGTATGTACTATAAACTGGACGCATCGTGTTAGGGGGGACGAAGAGGATATGACACTGTGAAGAAATATCGGCAGCGTGATGTGTGTATGTGTTGGCTGTAAAACGCGTAAAAGGAAATGTCCCCGTGAGTTCGAGCGAACGCGCAGCATTTGGCAGGGTCCGCCCCCCCCCCACGCAATTGTCGTCACTTGGTACGGTCGATGTCGCGTAATAAGTAAATAATGAATAATAGAAACGGCACAAATGTGTTAATTAAACTACATTAAAGTTTACGGATGGGAAAACGGAATAGCCTATTCCCACCGCAGGGCTTAGGGCGTGCCGCCTGTCAAATTTCTTTCTACGTGAAGCCCACCGTCCGAGAGTCAAATCGACCGCAAGCGCGAGCGCGCGGAGACTTTTATAAAAAAAAAGAAGAAAAAAAGAAAGATGGAGGTGGGGTGTCCATTTGGAGGACATCACCTCTTCATGGTTATTAATGAGGGGGGCTGTTCAATGTGGAGTGACGTCACCTGCTCACGATTATTGAGGGTCCGGTCCATGTGGAGGACGTCACCTGCTCATGTTTATTAATGAGGGGGGCTGGTCGATTTTGAGTGACGTCACGAGAGGTAAGGACATTCCTGGGTGATTATAGTAGGTATAGTGTGGAGTAGTGTATAGTAGTGTGAATATGTATGTTGAACTTATTTAACACCATATGTAGCTAATCAGAGGTGCGGGGAAAGAACAGCAAACTAAACACAACGAGCAGCAGTTCTAAAGAAGTAAGATTGTCAACCTAGATGGTAATGATTTAAAAAGTTGCATGGCTCCCAGTAGCTTCCTAATATCACAGGGAAGAGCGTTCCAGACGGCCGCAGAAGCAGCACAATCTGAAAGCGCCGCGATAATGCGGTGACCACAATCGTTCGTTTGTTAGCCAAAATACGCTGCTGCCAGCATGACCGTGGTGTGTGTTTTTGTATTTTGCAGGTGGAGCAGCATGAACATTACCCTGATTCATGTTCTGGCGGCTGTCATCTGGCTCGCTATGAGCGTCGAAGGTGACGTTTTTCACTCCACTCCTCAGCTATACGTTTGCATTCATTTAGTTAGTATATAGTCTGTCCTCTTGTGTTGCATTAGAAATGTTCCTGAAGAACACCGCAATTAACTAGACTTTCCACTACACTAGACACTGCTATAAACTAGAATGTACTACTATACACTACCCCCCACACCTCCGATTAGCGCAACGGTGGGACTAAGTTACAGTCCAACCGTAATTATTAAACAGTTATATATAGCTAAGTTGTTGCGAAGCTGTAAATGTGTGTGTTACCTGTACAGCGTCCATCCGAATCTGAATAGATTTCCCGTACCCTGAATTGATTACTCCACTGGTGGGCGTGGTGTACTGTGCAGTCACGTGGGTCTATGGGTCCAATCCATGGTCATCATTAACTCCATTATTTACATTAAGCCCATTCCAGCTACGTGTCTCTCTTCCCGTGAATATGTTAACTACCTCGCCTGGTATGCAGGAGATTCGTGAAGTGCGACCCTGACGATGCATGCTGCTGTTATATGTGGAGTTTGCATCTCTCTATCCCCCGTGGATTTTTAAGCCGGGTCCTCCGATTTTTCACTTTACATTTAGAAACACAGGTGTAGAATGGTTGGCTGCACTAAATTTCCACGTGATCATATTAGTCACTTCGTTGAGTTGCTATCATTTGTGATGGCCAGGTCGCTTCCAAAAAAGAGCTACTACATAACAGCTGAGTGGGGCCTTACACCTGGTAAAAAAAAAAAAGGTTGAGTTTAATTACTAATATGCGTCTTTGTACAATTTTGCAGGACTGATTCGCTGCTACGCCGGAAGTGCTGCTTTAGGGATTCCTGAAACACATTCATTATGTGCAGCAGAGCAAGACTCATGCGTGACGATGGAACTGACTGAGAGTAAGTGCTTCCGGGTCAAGGCTGCTATATATTTGGAGTCTGCGTCTATCTCTCTCCCGAGATATGTTATCTCCCTCGCCTGGTATACATTAGGCAGTGGGTTAAATCCTGAACCCTGACGGTGCCTGCTGTATATTTGGAGTCTCTTCCCATGGTGGCCACTGCATTGATTTTTCTTCGGGTCCTCCGGTAATATAAGCATTGTGCTGAGAACCGATTGGCCTACACCAGAGATAGCAGCCTACTTAACGACCTTGTCTCTGCACCAGTGACAGACCAGAGAACAACGCTAAAAGGTGAACGGTGCAAAGACAATGGCAAGTATCAGAGCACTTACAGCTCGCGTTGAGCAGCGATTATATATATGGCATACCTTTGATGCCAGTATAAAAATAATGAAGAGATACGAATAGGCTTCATACCCTTTCTGGCAATAAAACAGGAGTTGTGTTAAGATGTTCAAACCCCAAATAGATACTTATTGTACGGCATCATGTACAGCATTAACCGCACAGTACTTGTGGTAAACATGCAAACGAATGTACTCTAATAATATATTGTAATATATCAAAGCATGTTCATTTGCGATCGATTAACTTCATAAATTTGTCACAAAACCGCGATAGCTAAAACCCACGAGAGGGAATGGCTTTGCTGTGTTTGTATGTCATCCTCTTATTTTGCACATTTTGGGATGCGCTTTACCAACAACAAAAAACGTTAGATTTCATTACATACACGTGCAAGTTATATGTAATTTATACTTAACTGCAGATTTTCTTGTTTCTTCTCTCCAATTACATCTCCATTCCAGGTGGTATTCATTACCAGGCCAGAACCTGTGCCACAAGAGCACAGTGCGATGCGTCCGACTTCAAGGACCAGATGAAACAGTACATCCTCGATCATCAGCCAACATTCGTTGGCACCGTCGATAGCACCTCCTGCTGCCGGGAAATTGATTGCAACCGCGGTAATAAAAACACTTATGGTGGCGTACTTAAATGCGTTTGGGTTGTTTTCCTGAAAAACCTAAATGCGGTTACCATACAGGCTGTCCCGGAGATACGATACTTCCGGGCTTTCGAATGCCCACATGCTTATGACCGCCCGCGTGCTTATGACCACCCGCGTGCTTACGAACAGCTGCGTGCTTACGAACATTCCCTGTAAGATGAACCGCGGAACTATTTTGTTTGGTGGAGCGATCCTCCGCTAGATGTGACAATGCCCCCGCATCCCGCGTGATGCACTCCCCTTTTGACAAGCTAACCGAAAAAACATTTTCATGTTACTTTATTTTATGTTTAATTATATTCACTATTCAGTATTTATTGCAGTATTACGTGAAAATATAAAATGTCTTATTTGTGAGTTTAACTATCCTTCCGTGCTTTTATTGAAACCGTATAACTTTTTTTATGGGACTGGTCGTATTTACTGCACAATTAACTATTCTAAGATACACCAAAATCTACTTGCGAACGGCTCTCGGGAACATAAAACCCGTTCCTTCATAAGTCAAGGACTCTCCGTATGTACGTTTGGGTCGCATTCTTGAAAACACGAACCGTGTATGTTAAATACAACCATACCATATCATCTCACCGTGTTTTCACGTAATATCCAATTGTATAACCTGATGGGCGATTTGACCCAAAGCTCAAATGAAATAAAACATTTCGACACAGCTGAAATATTTTCATGCATGCATATGGATTCTGATAATTAGACATGTAATTGAAAGCAAATACAGTCAGTTATCCTGTAACCCTGTGTTTTCATAACGCAAATTGGATATGCAAAGTGAGAATGTATTACAGGGATTTTTTTTGTTAATTGGATGCAACGTGATCGAGCGAACGGAACTACGTCACTGCGGCCATACGGCTGCCTTGACATCGCATCACACAGGGTATTGGGATGCTGCCGGATACTTCTAGAGGCTAGAGGCTACCCTATACGCGCATCCATTCTTTGTTCGGTCTGCGTTGTGTATCATCTCGTGCGTTATTGTCAACTGTGCTTTACCTCCTAAAATAATATATTATAACGCAATTGAGCGAACTTGAATTATGTCACGTGAGAAGGAATAAGCAGTCGTAATATGAATGCTACCTCTGCGTGTCATCGTCGCACAATGCATTGGGACGCTGCTGGATGCTTCTAGTTGCTGCTACCTTAAACCTTCAGGTCCTGCGTTATACATTATCTCGGACTGTGCTTTACCACTTACATTACATTTATTATTACAAGGCGATCGTCATATAACATGGTGGTCTTCAGGAATGCAACAACTACCATACGTTATAGGAGAAGAGACTGTCATTTTCTAACCAGAAACTGGTGCACATGCAGGGGCGGTTTCTTCATTAGGGCGATTGGGCGACGCACCACCAATCTCAGCCGTTACTGTGCCTCTGGATATAGTCCAATCAGCGTCATGTCACGTTCTGTGGAGTACCGCCTCTTTTTGGGCGATTTCACTCTGGCTGAGAATCGCCCCGTGTGGTCCCATAGACTTACATTCAAAGATGTTTTTTTTCGAAAGGCGGGCGCTGCAATGCATTCTCTATGGCTTCCGGGAGGGCTCGCACTAACGTGCTTACGTCATCATACGTAAGCACGTTTCAGTCAACAATGTTATTTGTCGCCACCTAGTGGAATCTTTAATAAAATAAACTAAGTGGATTGTAATAATAGTGACATAGAAACAAACAAGATGTATTGTAAGAGTCACTTTATTTTTCATTAATATTAAAGAAGTGAAGTTGCCTTTACATGCTTAAGCTGTTAATTTATCAATTGCATGGGTGGACCTTATCCTTATCAATCATCCAGACATTTGCCCCCCCTGAGAGATTTTGCAGGAGCCGCCACTGTGCACATGGTGTGAGGTGTTGGAGGAATGTGGCTGTTACCTGGAGAGTGACTATACTCAAAGCGAGGTCTAGTGGGCGCCACGATGGCTCGGAGATGTTAACTACCTCGCCTGATATGCAGGAGGTTCGTGAAGTTCGACCCGGACGATGCATGCTGCTGTTATATGTGGAGTTTGCGTCTCTCTATGCCCTGTGGTGGTCGTATGGATTTTTAAGCCGGGTCCTCCGTTGTTTCCTTTCACATTTAGAAACATGGGTTTAGAGTATTTGGCTGATGTAAATTTCCACAACCATATCAGTCACCTCGTTGAGTTGCTATCATTTGTGATGGCCAGGTCGCTTCTGAAAGCGCTACTACATAACAGCTCATTGGGGCCTTACACCTGGTAAAAAAAATGGTTGAATTTAAAAACCTAATACGCATTTTTTGTACAATTTTGCAGCAAACAGTGCTTTTTGCCACATCGGAAGTGCTGATTTGAAGATTGCTGATGAACCTTACTGTGGAGCCGGGCAAGACTCGTGCGTGACGATGCAACTGACTCAAAGTAAGTGCTTCCGGGTCAAGGCTGCTGTATATTTGGAGTCTGCGTCTATCTCTCTCCCTGGATATGTTATCTCCCTCGCCTGGTATACATTAGGCAGTGGGCTAAATCCCGGACCGTGACGATGCCTGTTGTGTATTGGAAATGTCTCCCCGTGGTGGTCACTGCATTGATTTTTCTTCGAGTCCCCCGGTAATATAAGCATTGTGCTTAGAACCGATTGGTCTACACCAGAGACAGCAACCTTCTTAACGGCCTTGTCTCTGCACCAGTGACAGACCAGAGAACAATGCCAAAGCTGAACGGTGCAAAGACAATGGAAAGTATCAGAGCACTTACATCTCGCGTTGAGCAGCGCTTATATCTATGGTATGCCTTTGATGCCAGTATAACAATAATGAAACGATAATAGGCGTTATACCCTTTTTGGCAATACAACAGTTATGTTAAGATGTTCATACACCAAATACATCCTTATTGTAAGGCATCATGTACAGCCTTAACCACACACAGTTCTTGTGGTAAACATGCAAACGAATGTGCTCTAATAATATATTGTAATATATCAAAGCATGTTCATTTGAGATCGGTTAACTTCATAAATTTGTAACAAAACCGCAATGGCTAAAACCTGCGAGGGGGAATGGCTTTACTGTACTTGTACGTGATCCTCGTTTATACTTAACTGCAGATTTTTTTTGTTTCTTCTCTCCAAATTACTTTTTCATTTCAGATGGTATTCGTTACCTGGCCAGAACCTGTGCCACAAAAGCACAGTGCGATGCATCCACCTTCAAGGACCAGATGAAACAGTACATCCTCAGAAAACTGCCGAAGTTCGTAGGCACCGTCGATGGCACCTCCTGCTGCCAGGAAAATTTTTGCAACTACGGTAATACAAAAAAAACTCACGGTGTGGTACCTCTATGCGTTTGGGTTGTTTTCCTGAAAAAACAAAATGCGGTACCATACAGGCGGTCCCGGGGATACGAAACTTCCTGGCTTACGAACAGCCCGCGTGCTTACGAACAGCCAGCGTGCTTACGAACAGCCAGCGTGCTTACGAACATTCCCCGTAAGATGAACTGCGGAACTACTTTGTTCGGCAGAGCGATCCTCCACTAGATGTGACGAGGCGCCCGCATCCCCCTGTGTTGCTGTCCCCTTCCGACAAGTGAGCTAGCATCAGGACTCGGTGAGTGAAAAAAGAAACGATTATTTATTTCAAGTTACTTTTTTTTTCGATTTAAAGCTTTCGTGAATAACATTTTACGTAAAATAAAGTAATAAAATAATTAAAATATAATATAATAAAATAATTCTCACGACGTTTCGGCTACAACGCAAGCAGCCGTCTTCAGGTGAAGAATGAGACACTGCCAAGCTTGGAGCTTATATATAAGCTGGGTTGGAGGTGGAAGAAGAGCGCCTTAACAAAAGAATGTGCATATCAAGAGGAATTTAGCATATTCATGGGAAATGCGTAGGAGGTGGGCGGGGGGGGTTTCAAAGTCATATTAAGCCCCTTGCATTATGCAGGATTAGCAGCATCAAAGGGAGGGGGTAGGCGGTAGCATTAACAAAGGGTGGGAATGTTCTGGCTCAGCAATCATTGGAAGGACGTAATAAACCATTTCGGATCTTAACTGATTGTTGTTCACGTTCACGGTGACTTTCAGACCGCAGTCCACTCACTGGCATTGACTGTGTATCTTGTGTTCTCCACAGGGAATGCATTATTTGCTCCACTGCGGGTCTCCTGCCACCGCTCTCATTGACATGTTTCATTGCTTCTACATACTATTAACATTCCCTCCCTTTGTTAATGCTAGCCCCTACCCCCTCCCTTTGATGCTGCTAATCCTGCATAATGCATGGGCATAATATGACTTTGAAACCCCCCCCCCCCCGCCCACCTCCTACGCATTTCCCATGAATATGCTAAATTCCTCTTGATATGCACATTATTTTGTTAAGGCGCTCTTCTTCCACCTCCAACCCAGCTTATATATAAGCTCCAAGCTCGGCAGTGTCTCATTCTTCACCTGAAGACGGCTGCTTGCGTTGTAGCCAAAACGTCGTGAGAATTATTTTATTATGTTTTATTTTTATTATTTTATTACTTTATTTTACGTAAAATGTTATTCACTATACAGTATTTATCGCAATATTACGTGAACATGTACAATATCTTCTTATTTATGAGTTTAACTATGCTTCCCTGCTTTTATTGAATCCCCATCATATTTTTTATGGGACTGACCGTATTTACTGTACAATTAACTCTTGAGTTCTAAGATACGGCAAAAAATCTACTTACGAACGGCTCTGGGGAACATAAAACCCATTCCTTCATAAGTCATGGACTCTCTGTATGTACGTTTGGTTTGCGTTCTTAAAAAAGGGAACCGTATACTGTTAAATGAAACCGTACCATATAATCTCACCCTGTTTTCACGTAATATCCCATTATATAACCTGATCGGAGATCTGACCCAAAGCTCAAATTAAATAAAACATTTCAACACAGCTGAGATATTTCCATGCATGCATATGGATACGGTTAATTAGACGTGATTGAAAACAAATACAGTCAGTTATCCTGTAATGCTGTGTTTTCATAATGCAAATTGGATATGCAAAGTGAAGAATGTATTACAGGGAAACATTTTTGTGAATTGTATGCAACGTGATCGAGCGAACGGAACTACGTCGCAGCACGAGTAGGAATAAGCGGTCATACGGCTGCCTCGGCATAACATCACACAGCGTATTGGAATGCTGCTGGATACACTATACGCGCCTCCATTCTTTGTTCGGCCTGCGTTACGTATCTCGCGCTTTATCGCGGACTGCTATAACGCAATGGAGCGAACTTGAATTATGTCACGTGAGTATGTAAATGGTCGTAATGACTGCTATCTTGGCATAGCATCATTGTCGCACAATGCATTGGAATGCTGCTGGATGCTTCTAGTCGCTGCTTCCTTAAACGTTCAGGTCCGGCGTTATGCGTCATCTCACGCATTATCGCGGACTTTGCTTTACCATACTCTTTGGTTCTTTCGGTAAGTCACTTAGGTATAAAATAAAATCACGACGTTTCGGGCGCAATACAAGCGTCCGTCATCAGGTGGGAAAGCATGGTCTGCTGCTGAGGCAGACTGTTTTAATAGGTTTGAAATGGGTGTAGCCCAAGATTCATAAAGAAGTAGCCAGAGCTAGTGATGTTAATGTGAGAAATTGGCATGGAATTGTAAGATAGGAGAGTGGCCTCCTCGACGAGGGCACGTAAGTGGCTATGTTAATATGAGAGATTAGCATATGTTAATGAGATAAATTATAATGTAACTGTACGATAGGAGAGCGGCCTCCTCGACGAGGGCGTGCAACCCAACGGGTGCAATCCAAAGGACATGTGAGTATGAGAGTGCAATCTAAAGGACATGTGAGCATGAGACTGCAATGCAAACGACATGTGAGCATGAGAGATCTAAGAGAGAGGCATAGAGAGAGACAGAGTTGGAAATAACAGCTGGTTCGTTTCAACAAAGTACACAAAATCCGTGATTAAATCCCATCTGTAAAGGATGTGATTCCTGAAATGCAATACCCTGGTGTCTAAAAACTGAGTTGTGGTTGCAGCAGCAATTACATTGGGGAAACGAAACGACATGTCTCGGACCGCATTCGTGAACACAAGGCAGATCTAAAACACGGTAGGACCAATACCTCTGCCGTTGCCGATCATTGTTTTAACGCTGTGGGCTCACACGAAATAGATTTTTCCAAGGCGTAGGTACTCTGCAAACCTACCGGCTACCTTCAGAGATTAACCGAGAGGATGGGTACAAACTGAGCAATCATTGGAAGTACGTTATTAACCAGGTAAAGTCTTAACTGACTGATGATTCCATCCTACCTGCCTATGTCAGCTGTTATTTCCGACTCTGTGTCTCTGAGATCTCTAATGCTCACATGTCTTTTACATTGCACTCTCATGCCTTTGGATTGCACTCTCATGCTCACATGACATTTGGATTGCACCCGTTGGGTTGCACTCCCTCGTCGAGGAGGCCGCTCTCATATCTTACAGTTACATGCTAATTTCTCACATTAACATCACTAGCCCTGGCCACTTCTTTATGACCATTGGGTTACACCCATTTCAAACCTATTAAAACAGTCTGCCTCAGCAGCAGACCATGCTTTCTCACCTGATGACGGACGCTTGTGTTGCGCCCAAAACGTCGTGATTTATTTTATTTTATACCTACGTGACTTTACCGAAAGAACCAAAGAGTATGGATTCCTGCAGTCACGAAAGCTTCAAATCAAGATTGTGCTTTACCACTTTTATTATTTATTACAACGCGATTGTTTGGTAACATGGTGGTCTTCAGGAATGCAACAACTACCACCACGTTTATAGAACAACAGACTACTCTGCACTGTAATTTTCTAACCAGAAACTGGTGCACATTGTGTGGGGTGTTGGAGGGGTGTGGCTGTTACCTGAAAAATGACTATACTCAAAGCGAGGTCTAGTGCGCGCCACGATGGCTCGGAGATGTTAACTACCTCGCCTGGTATGCAAGAGCGTGTGGGTTTGCTCCCGAATCTAATGGTGCATGCTGTATATTTTGAGTTTGCATGTCTCTATCCCTGTGGTCACGTGGTTTTTTCCTCCACACAGCATCACCACGAATTTACTATATTTGCCTGCTGCGAGAAATGTACACGTGATAAGCTTCTGAAGAAATACTACATAGCTCAGTGGGGCATTACCTGGTAAAATAGAGAGTTTAGTTTTCAAGTTAAGAATTCCCTTTTTACCTGCTCACTTCAGCCAAAGCACAAGTAGTGCAGCATGGTGAGGTTGCGGATGAATACCGCATTGCGAGGCGTAAGGCGGGCCTAACCAAATGTGTAAGTCTAGGCCTAGCCTGAAATACGGTAAACGAAAATTCGTAAGTGACTGCTCTCTTTTAGCAATGTAAAAATATTTCATGGTATTCATAAATAATTGGATACAGTATATGTTCCATTAGTTAAATTATGGGTAGTGTTAGGGTAGATTTTCGATAAATTAAAATAATCATAGGAAGTGCAGAGGATATGTATAGCGATATGATACGATACATGTAGCGATAGACAGCACGATACACAACAGTGCGTTACAGTACCGAGAGAAAATGGTAGGGGAGGCTACAGCTTTTTCCGAATATGGGCTTTCATCTTGATTTAGGAGGAATTGTCTAGTTTCCGAAATATGGAAAATTTTGGTTATGGATCGTTCGGTAACCTGGGGACTGTCTATATTATTCATGCTGATACAACGAACAAACACGGTATATGAAAAATAAGAAGTTTTACCCTTTCTGGCAATAAAACAGCAGTTGTGGTAAGATGTTCAAAGACCAAATAGATACCTTTATGAAGGAATCAAGTACTGGATTAACTGCACAGTACTTGTGGGGAACATTCAAACAAACATGCTCTGGTAATAAATCCATTGTTGTTGATACTGATTGGCCTACACCAGAGACGGCTTCACTTAGGGCCTCTTCTCACCATTGTCAGACCAGAGAATGCCGAAAGTTGAACGGTACAAAGACGATGCATGTGTAATGACTGGGTGCCACCTGTCGGCCTAAAGGGGTATTTGCGGATATGGGTACATTATGTAATACTTAATTATAAGGAGGGCGTATCTGAGATAAAGGTGAAAGGCAGAGTCGGTCGAGAAGCTCCGGGAACCTGCTCGAGGGTTCTAGAAGGGGGCGTGGCCGGAGGCGGGGCTTGGCCAAACTGGAGCGTATATAAGGGGAACCGAGCCAGAGGATTGGTGCAGTTGCGGGTCAGTAGGTCCTGGCTGCATCGCTGCTCTCCGTCATCTCTCTACGTCTTCCGATCACATGGCCGATCTCCTGCAAGGCACTCACCATCGCCGTCACTGCGCTAGTTGGACGCTGACGGGGTTATGTGATAGGGTCGGGTATGTGTAGCTGCGTTACATAAATGTATTGCCTAGTGTGCTCTAAATAAATTAGAAGCATTCTACATGACGTGTCTCAGAAGTCGCTCACTACACGTATCAGAGGATTTATAGCTCAGTAAGCGGCTATATCGCCCTATTCTTATTAGGTTCTCGAGAACCTAACACTTACGTAACCCAGGGACTGTGTATTGTGATTCATTCGTTGCCAGCACTGTGTGTGTGTGTGAGTAAGACCTGCCATTGTGACTACATTCAAAGGATTTATTGACCTTCCTCCCATGTTTTGCAGTACTTATGCAACAATGCTATTATGGCAGTGACGGTTTGGGAGTTGCTGAAAAGGAAAAGTTATGCCTTATTGGACAAGATTCATGTGTGACTGCACTGCTGATGCAGGGTAAGCTATTCAAGTGAGGCTATGATTTAGCTACACACATACATGCAGTGATAAGGGTTGGGGTAGTGGTAATGACAGGGATATAGATGGGGTAGTGATAGGGGTTGTGATTGTTGCTAGCCATCGAACAAACATTCTCATTGCATCGCTCACTTTCAGATGCGCTTCTGCGGCCGCTTGGAACGCTCTTCCGATATTAGGAATCCACTGGGAGCTGTGTACTTTCAAATAATTGAGATTGACAAACTTACTTCTTTAGAACTGCTTATTGAGGTATCATTAATTGGTCATCCTTCCCCCGCACCTCCGATTAGCTCAACAGTTGGGCTACACTACAGTGTGGTATTTATCACAGCGCATGATGTGGAAAAACGTGGAGAGATGATCAGAAGTCTTCTTGGTTCTTTCGGTAAAGTCACGTAGAAGGGAAGTAATAAAATAATAAAAATAAAACATAATAAAACAATTCTCACGACGTTTCGGCCACAACGCAAGCAGCCGTCCTCAGGTGAAAACCAGGTCCGTCGAGGCGACAGAGTCTGAATGAAACAGCACACGGGCTTAGAGCATATATATAAGCTGGGCGCATTGACAAAGGAATTTGCATATCAACAGGAATTTAGCATATTTATGGGAAATGCAGGAATGTAATTAGTACTGCATATGCATGTGCATTATGCAGAATTAACAGCATCAAAGGGAGCTGCAGTTACTGCTGCTGCAGCAGTTGCTGCTGCTGCTGCAGTTTCTGCTGCTGCTGCAGTTGCTGCTGCTGCTGCAGTTGCTACTGCTGCTGCACTTGCTGCTGCTGCTGCACTGCTGCTGCTGCTGCACTTGCTGCTGCTGCAGTTACTGCCTTATCCATTTTAATATAACACTATGTATTATTCTACCCACCCTAATGTGTATCATACTGCTATATGTTTACTGTACAATTACGACACCATACATTACTCTGCACACTGCACCATGCCAGTGAGTGGAATGCGGTCTGAAAGTCACCGTTAACGTGAACACAATCAGTTAAGATCCGAAATGGTTTATTACGTCCTTCCAATGATTGCTAAGCCAGAATCCATCTTCTCGGTTGAAATTGTCTCTGTGTTTGTATATGTGGATCGCCTCATGAACGAATCTCTCATGATAGCCAGATGGCTTGCAGAGAACCTCTGTCTTGGAGAAGTCAATGTCATGTGAGCCCACTGAATTGTAACAGTGATCTGCCACGGCTGAGGTGTTTGTCCTACCGTGTTTCAGGTCTGCCTTATGTTCACGGATGCGGTCCGAGACATGTCGTTTGGTTTCTCCAATGTAACTGCTACCACAGAGGCAACTTAGTTTGTAGACGCCAGGGTACTGTATGTCTGGAACCACATCTTTTACAGACGGGACCAGATCACGGATTTTATGTACTGTGTTGAATCGGACCTGGATCTTGTGTTTAATCAGGATTTTGGAGATCTTTTTTGTGACCCCAGCAATGTAGGGTAAGGTGATGGTCTTGAAAGGCTCCTCAACAGGATCCTTCTTGATGGTTGGAGTGATGGCTTTGCGGATTGTGTAGTCGGAGTAACCATTAGCCTTAAGAGCTTGGCGTACGTGTTTGAGTTCACTGGAAATGTGTTCATGGTCGGAGATGCATTGGGCTCTATGATATAGAGTCTTGATGAGGGAATTCTTCTGGGATGGATGGTGGTGGGAATCCGGTTTTAGATAAGCATCCGTGTGGGTGGCTTTCCTGTAGACAGAGTGGCTCATTGAACCATCAGGTCTCCTTTTGATTAGGACATCCAAAAAGGGTAGCTTGCCATCATTTTCGACTTCCATGGTGAATCTGATGGCTGGGTGTATGGAATTGATGTGGTCGAGAAATTGGTCTAGAGCAGGCCGGCCATGTGGCCAGATGACAAAAGTGTCGTCTACGTACCTCTTCCATAAGGTCGGGCGTAGAGTGGCAGTCTGGATGGCGTCCGTCTCAAATTTCTCCATGAAGATGTTGGCTACAACCGGAGATAGGGGGGAGCCCATTGGGGTGCCCTCAATTTGCTTGTAGAAGGTTCCATTCCAGGTGAAGTATGTATTGGTTAAGCAGTGTCTCACCAGGGGGGGTACCCCAGCATTCAGTCCTTGATGAACCAAGTCTTCAATGATTGCGATGGTGTCAGGCACAGGCACCTTGGTAAACAAGGAAACCACATCAAAACTGACAAGCAGGTCGTCTGGGGACAGGGCAATCCCCTTGATTGTCGATACCAGGTCAGTAGAGTTTAGTACTGCAGAGGTGGTTTTTCCAGTGAAAGGCCGTAGGATTTCGGACAAAAAACGAGCCAGTTTGTAAGTGGGGGAGTTGATAGTAGAGACAATGGGACGAAGAGGTGTATCTTCTTTATGTATCTTTGGCAAGCCGTACAATCTTGGTGGCCTGGCTGCAGAAGGTTTCAACGAGAACTGTTTGGTCTGATCAATTAATGCGGTTGAAGCAGAAATGATGTTGTTGGTTTTGGAGACGAGGCTGTTGGTGGGGTCTCTTTTTATTTTTGTATAGCTGCCATCGTTGAGTAGTTCTTGAATTTTGTTGTTGTATTCTATTTTGTCCATGATGACAGTGGCATTGCCTTTGTCGGCTGAGAGGATGACAATGTCATCCCTCTTTTTTAATTGAGCTAATTCAAAACGCTCATCTTTGCTAATGTTGCTAGCTGGCATCTTAGCGTTTTTGAGGGTTACAGAGATTTCAGATCTTGCTACGTCTGCAGCGATGTGACTCAAGCCCTTGAGAGCTACATCTACTCGAGCAATTATATCATTAACTGGTATGTGTCTAGGTGTGACTGCAAAGTTTAGTCCTTTAGCTAAAACGGATTTCAAACCTTCAGAAATAGGACTGTTACTGCGATTAATTACGACTTTGTTAACATCTAGCTTTTCAATGTGTGGGTCCGGTTTCTTGTTTGAGAGGCGGTTGAATTTGGAAATCAAGTTGTCCTTACATTTAGTCGACATAGCGGCAGCTGAAGAGGCAGTCATTTTTTCCACATGTTCCCAATCCGATGTGGACATTGTTACACTCAAAGATAAGTGTGATTTGTAGAGTGTCTTGTCTAACTGATCTAGTTCGGTGCGCGTAAGTCTGATTTTCTCTGAGATAAGAGCTAAACTAGTTCTAGACAGAATTCGTTTCGCATTAGAAGAAGTTACAGCAGCAGATGTTAGTGTAAATGCGTTTGGTATTACCTTAGAGTCGCGGCATCTCTTCAGAAAGGTGAGAGACTCGATTAGCTGAGCCTTCTTATCCCGGAGCTTGTTGAAGGATCTCAAAGTTATGTGGAAACCCTCCCCGTAGAGGCGGTTAAATTTCGATTTAAAGCTTTCGTGACTGCAGGGATTCATCTTCTTGGTTCTTTCGGTAAAGTCACGTAGAAGGGAAGTAATAAAATAATAAAAATAAAACATAATAAAACAATTCTCACGACGTTTCGGCCACAACGCAAGCAGCCGTCCTCAGGTGAAAACCAGGTCCGTCGAGGCGACAGAGTCTGAATGAAACAGCACACGGGCTTAGAGCATATATATAAGCTGGGCGCATTGACAAAGGAATTTGCATATCAACAGGAATTTAGCATATTTATGGGAAATGCAAGAATGTAATTAGTACTGCATATGCATGTGCATTATGCAGGATTAACAGCATCAAAGGGAGCTGCAGTTACTGCTGCTGCAGCAGTTGCTGCTGCTGCTGCAGTTTCTGCTGCTGCTGCAGTTGCTGCTGCTGCTGCAGTTGCTACTGCTGCTGCACTTGCTGCTGCTGCTGCACTTGCTGCTGCTGCTGCACTTGCTGCTGCTGCAGTTACTGCCTTATCCATTTTAATATAACACTATGTATTATTCTACCCACCCTAATGTGTATCATACTGCTATATGTTTACTGTACAATTACGACACCATACATTACTCTGCACACTGCACCATGCCAGTGAGTGGAACGCGGTCTGAAAGTCACCGTTAACGTGAACACAATCAGTTAAGATCCGAAATGGTTTATTACGTCCTTCCAATGATTGCTAAGCCAGAATCCATCTTCTCGGTTGAAATTGTCTCTGTGTTTGTATATGTGGATCGCCTCATGAACGAATCTCTCATGATAGCCAGATGGCTTGCAAAAGGACTAAACTTTGCAGTCACACCTAGACACATACCAGTTAATGATATAATTGCTCGAGTAGATGTAGCTCTCAAGGGCTTGAGTCACATCGCTGCAGACGTAGCAAGATCTGAAATCTCTGTAACCCTCAAAAACGCTAAGATGCCAGCTAGCAACATTAGCAAAGATGAGCGTTTTGAATTAGCTCAATTAAAAAAGAGGGATGACATTGTCATCCTCTCAGCCGACAAAGGCAATGCCACTGTCATCATGGACAAAATAGAATACAACAACAAAATTCAAGAACTACTCAACGATGGCAGCTATACAAAAATAAAAAGAGACCCCACCAACAGCCTCGTCTCCAAAACCAACAACATCATTTCTGCTTCAACCGCATTAATTGATCAGACCAAACAGTTCTCGTTGAAACCTTCTGCAGCCAGGCCACCAAGATTGTACGGCTTGCCAAAGATACATAAAGAAGATACACCTCTTCGTCCCATTGTCTCTACTATCAACTCCCCCACTTACAAACTGGCTCGTTTTTTGTCCGAAATCCTACGGCCTTTCACTGGAAAAACCACCTCTGCAGTACTAAACTCTACTGACCTGGTATCGACAATCAAGGGGATTGCCCTGTCCCCAGACGACCTGCTTGTCAGTTTTGATGTGGTTTCCTTGTTTACCAAGGTGCCTGTGCCTGACACCATCGCAATCATTGAAGACTTGGTTCATCAAGGACTGAATGCTGGGGTACCCCCCCTGGTGAGACACTGCTTAACCAATACATACTTCACCTGGAATGGAACCTTCTACAAGCAAATTGAGGGCACCCCAATGGGCTCCCCCCTATCTC